TATGTCGAGGGGAGTTTCACCCTCTTAACCTCACGAACTCCTTTACCCTTATAGTCCTAGCATTCAATTCCTTATTTGGGCATTTAAACCAAGAAAAACTAATGTATACATGTGCGCATGCATACCTCGAATATGAGTAAGATATATTTAAAACATAATACAAGAGAGAGAGAGAGAAACAGATAGAGGAGGGGTGATTCAGAGAGAGAATGCTGTATAGGGAACGAGTGAGAGAAGGAGAGAAGAAAAGGAGGGGTGAGGCATATCTGGAACAATTTCTTAAAAAGACAGAGAGTGTTTTCTAACAGTGCTTCAAACGGTTCTTCAAGCGATGCCATAGAAGAACCTTTTTTGGTTCCACAAAGAACCATTCAGTCAAAGGTTCTTTAAAGAACCATCTCTTTCTTACCTTTTTATAATCTGAAGAACCTTCCTTCGCCACAAAGAACCTTTTGTGAAACTGAAAGGTTCTTCAGATGTTCGAGGTTCTTTATGGAACCATTTAGACAAAAAGGTTCTTCTATGGCATCGTGAAGCACCTTTATTTTTAAGAGTGTAGTGCACATTGTCCGGATATGTCACTCCCCCTTGCCTTGTGGTGTAGTTGCATGTGCTCCGGTGTAGGGATGAAACGATTACCGGTTTTACGATAAATCATGATTAAAATCCCCACGGTTAGTATTACCGTTTCATATTTTCATTGTCATTAAAACCGTATTCAATTACCGCGATTTGAACAACTCGTTTTGTGTGAAAACACGGCTGAAGGCTGGGAGGTTTTAAAAGAGTGCTAAGGGAATTATTCAAATGAATATATTAATTAAATAATTAATTATATGAATGTACCTCTGAAGGTTCTGACTGCCTTCAGAAAAGATTCGAAGGCATTTTGTTTTCATCTTCGCTCCATGTAATGCCTATAAAGTAGTGTTCTTAATCGCAATGCTGCTTTGTCCACGGAGGTTACGACTCAAAATTCTGCTGTTTCATAAGTGCCACCTGCTGAGGGAGTGGATTTACAGAGAGTTACACTTACATCTAACCTGTGTGCATTTTTTGTCTGTCCAAAAAATTGGATTGAATTTGCATGCCCTGCTGTAAATTTTTGACCGGTTGATAAAAAAAAAAAATTGTGGATTCAACACATTTAACAATTCGGATAAAGTATCTAGAATTATTTATGGAGCAGATAAAATACATCTAATCATTTATTAATCAATTATAATTTTTTTTATTTAAAGGCTGAAATGTGAGGTTTGGCATTTTATGAAACTTTTTCAAAGCTTTATTTGTAAGTTATTAGTTAAACTGTTGTCGGTTATGTTGTCATTTAAAATCTGGACATCATTGGTAATGTTATTGTTTTAGTGTTTATGCAAACAAAACGTAATTTTATTTGTCGTTTGTTGATTTTAAATATAAAATATTGGTGAAACGATTTGTCAACTTTTTGAACATTTCCAGCACATTTGAACAATACCGTGATAATACTGATAACCATGATAATTTTGGTCACTATAATCGTGATAAGAAATTTTCATACTGTTTCATCTCTACTCCGGTGTATGGTGTCAATATTGCCTTATCAGTTTGATGCTGAATCAAGCCCATAGAATATTAGGGAAGGGGATCGAGCAGAACTTGTGCAAATACAGATCTTTACAGGATGTTTCAGAATGGTATGTTTTTTGTTTGTAGTTCTCTCATACTTTTAGATATACTGTTATTTGTAATTGCTACTGCTGTTTCTTTGCTTTTATACGGTTTTATCCTGATTAAAGCTTTATTACAGCAGAATACATAATTGTGTTGTAGCATTATTGTAAAGTAATTGTTTAATTTGTAAAAGTAAGAAGTGTTTGCTTATTAACAAAATCTAGTGTACCGCATAGATTGAGGAAGCTGCCCTTCGTAAAATGTGCAGCACAGAGAGCTTAATGGTATTATAAATAATTTTCAGGAACCAAGTTAAAAATACATTTTAAACATTTGTAATCTTAACCAACAAAGTGGACCTGCAATCGGTGTGAAAATAACATAATATATACTATTAGTATAAGCTATAACTTATAACTATAAGCGTTTCGACAGCTGGCAACAAAGCAGCCCAACATGGCCTCGCCCCCTTTGTTGTGTTCCTGAGGGCAGGGTTTATGTAAATCTTTGTGACAGAAGAAGCTTGTTAAAGTCCCTATCAGCCTTTTTTTTTTTTTTGTAGTCCTTAAACAGCGATTTCTTTAAAAGAAATATCTCCCTTTGCATTGAACTTTCAGCGTCGTACCTTTGCAGACGTTATATTCATGCTCTAACAGCAACATTACACATTAACTAAAGTTACAAAAGTGAAATCCCTTTAAATTTTAAATTTTTCTCAAATGTTTGTTAAACGTGTTTAAATGTAGGCAATATTGTATTTTAAAACAGTATAAAATATCTTGTATTAAGGCCTACTCATCAAAAATAAAGATATGTAATGAAAATGAAGAGATCATGTAAACTAGTGGTTTCATGTATAGTACAAAGATAGGATTAGGTTAAATTGTAAGTACTAATTCAAGTATGAGGTAAAAAATAAATAAGCTATTATTATTGTAAAAATGAATGGGTAAATCAAACTATTAGCAGACATCCCACCCTGCAGGTTTAACGGTAAGGCCACTTCTCTTTTGCTTACTCAATTTCCTGGATATTGTGAGCACCAGAGATCAGCTATCCATTTGCGAGAGACTCCCGGAGCATCTAGGAGAGGTGGGATGCTGGGTTAAATAAACAACCCAGTGGAATTCAGTGGAACTAGCCGCTTTATAAAAGACAGAGAGCCAGCCACCGTTCAAGCACTCGGACGCTTTTGCCTTTGCTATGTTTTTAACCCACTCTGAGAATCAATGTGTTAGCCCAACATGTGTTCTGTCCTATATTCAGCACTGGGCTAAAAAAACAACAACAAAACTCGATTAATGGCGATTAATCACATCCAAAATAAAAGTTTGTGTTTGTTTACATCGTATGTGTGTGTATATTTATATGTATGTATAAATACGTATATACTTAAGCAATTTTTACATGTATTCATATTTGTATATAATTTATATGTATGTATTTATTTATACATTCAGCACACATATATATTATGTAAACGCAAACTTTTATTTTGGATGTGATTAATTGCGATTTATTGATTTGACAGCACTAGTATCATCAGGAGCCACCCATGGGTATTCATTTTATGTTTCCTGTAAATGCTTTTTTTAACTCAATTTTTTTATTTGTGTCATGTATAAACATGTTTGTTGGTGTGTCTATGTTGAAAACAGTAATAAAAGTTACACAAATAAAAAATACACAGAGATTTTTTCAGCTACTTTCAGACATTGTTTCTGAGTGTACTACCCCTTTAACTCTGCCCATTGTTCTTTAATATTGCAAAATACGCACATGTACACACCAGTTAGACTCTATAAAAGAGAGCTGAACACTTGCAAACATACAAACTTTTATTTTGGATGTGATTAATTGCGATTTATTGATTTGACAGCACTAGTATCATCAGGAGCCACCCATGGGTATTCATTTTATGTTTCCTGTAAATGCTTTTTTTAACTCAATTTTTTATTTGTGTCATGTATAAACATGTTTGTTGGTGTGTCTATGTTGAAAACAGTAATAAAAGTTACACAAATAAAAAATACACAGAGATTTTTTCAGCTACTTTCAGACATTGTTTCTGAGTGTACTACCCCTTTAACTCTGCCCATTGTTCTTTAATATTGCAAAATACGCACACGTACACACCAGTTAGACTCTATAAAAGAGAGCTGAACACTTGCAAACATCACTGAGAGCAACTTCTTGCTATTGAACTGACATGGCGACTCAGAACTGCCCAGCACCTGGTGGGATCCTTATGCAGGACAATATAGTCTACACTGCCCAGCCAGTAAGAGTGTCCATGCCTGACCAAAACGTCAATGATGATATCATTTTCTCCACATTCAATCTTCACTTCTGCAACCCTTGCTGTCTTGGATTTGGGGCCTTTTACAACTCAATAAAGGTAAGCAATATACATATATGCAATTATATAACTGTCCTGCTGCTTTACAAATACCTAAAACTTATCATATTTTATGTGTGTCAGGCCAGGGACAGCAGATTGCTTGGAGACTTCCCAATGGCACGGTCTTATGGCGCCAGAGCTCGCTGCATAAACATTGCTGCCATCATTATTGGATCCATCTCTATACTTATCGTCATCATCGTCCTTTCCAAGTCAATGAGTCAACTCACAAGTTATTTCCATCATTAACTTCATCAAAGAATTGATGTCTGAATGCTTTTTGCTTTTTTAATGCCTGTCATTAAAACATTTATATTTGTTGAAACTTTGCTTTGTTCTTGTTTGGTCATTGTCACACACACACACACACATACACATACACATACATATATATATACAAGCTATACACATTAGTTACACATACATATAGAAGCAGTTCAGCCGTTTATTTTATTTCTTTAATTTTATTTTTTGGAACCTGTGATATATAACAATATATGTCTTTATCACTTTTATCAATTTAACATAATTTGCTGCATTTGCTTTTTGTGTGTGTGTGTAACATCGAGAGAACAGAAATGTCTCTAATAATTATTTTCAGTTCATGTTTTCATAACAATAAACTAACCTTTTATAATTGTTGTTTTCTAACTGTTTTCATTTTTGACATCCAATAGTGTACCCCAGTAAACAGCACTTGTGGTTAGACTCAAACTAAGCTTAAATTTAGCCAGTTAATCACTCATTCCTGCTATAATAATAATAACAGTAATATTAGCATTATTATCATTGTCATATAAAATTATCATTATTAATTATAATTTTATTTTATTCTTTTTATTTCATCTATTGTATTAATTTTGGTTGGTACAATTAGTTAATATTTTGTTATAATGTATTAATCATTAATCCAATCGTTTGGAGCTTGCTATTTTGGCGCGCTCTTCTGTACCGGTAGTCGTCAGTAGAGACGCCGCTCTCGCCCCCGTCCCGCTGCTGCCTCTCTCAGGTAGGGCCTCTGAGCGAAGATGGCGACGGACAAACAGAAACATGAAGGCAGGGTGAAAATCGGACATTATATTCTCGGAGACACACTAGGAGTGGGAACGTTTGGAAAAGTCAAAGGTAAAACTTTCCGAGGTGCTTTGTGTTATTGCTGTATTGAAAACAGTAAAGCAAAGCTGAAGAGGATCGAGCCTTTAAATGCGGCTAAAGCAGTAGCACAAGCTGCAGCACTTGTTGGCTAATGACAGTGTAGTCATGAAACAAACATTAACAGCAAAGCTTTCTGCTGTGATTAGCGTTGATAGTGTCGGCCATTCGATACTTGCGTGGTTTTCTGAATATTTGCGTGCATGTATCGTGTTAGTGTGGTTTGTAGAGGGATTGGGCGCAGCTAACCTGTTTAGCTTCATGGTTTATGAAGTGATTAGTATTCTGAAGTTGCAGTTTGATGAGGATTGATAGACTCGCTCGTGCACAGGCCAAATGACAGCTACAGATGCAGCTAGTCATAAAGTCTTTGTCAGAATGACAAGAAAGTAGTTCATTTAAAAAAGTTAATTTTGCTGATAAGGTGCATGCTATGAGTCAGATGAATTAAAAAAATCTTGCGCTTTTTTGTGTGATCCATAATTGTACAGTCTTTATGACTTAATAAATCGAGTATGATATATATATTTATGCCAATTAATGACATTCGTATGCGCTAGGGGTGTAACAACTTAATGATAAAGTTGACAATGAAAATGATCCACAGCAAATTTGATCATCGATTGATCATTTTTGAAAATAAAACATCCGCCGGTCAAGTCACTTTACAGTAGTGAATAAAGCATTTCTGTGGACAAAACACATCTGACATATAGTAACACCAAGTAGGGTTGACAGAGTACAGTAGAGAAACTTTCTGCTTGTTTTCATCATTACACAAACTAGATGCTGAAAGAAAGTGATTTTTCACATGATATTTATTTTGCTTATGTACTAAAATATCATAAATTGATAATAGCCATAAGTAGTTTCCCCCCCACAATTAGCTCATATACATAAGGTGCATTTTTGTTTCAACTTGTACCCATATAGTGTACAGTTGAAACGGTACCATGGTACAGTTGAGACACCCATTCTTAATGCTCTAAAGCTCGCTAACCATTTATTGCAAATGGGATAAATTACAGTTGTGCATTTTTTTAATTCAGATTTATTTATTTGCTTCATTTAATTCAGATTCAGTTAAACAAAATAGCAACAAAATATTTAACACTGGAAAAGATTTGGCAACCAGTACAAATGTAAACAGTAAACTAAAAAGACATAAAGTCCACTCACTGACTACGTTGCATAACACACACACACAGGTATTTCTAACATTATGGGACATTCCATAAGCGTAGTGGTTTTTCTACCGTACAGACAGTATATTTTATCCCCCTACATACCAGTATATTCTATAACACTACCCCTAAACCTACCTATCACTCGTAACTTTCTGTATTTTTACATTTTCAATCAGTCTGTATGATATATAAGCTTGTTTCCTCATGGGGACCTAAAAATGTTCCTATAAGGTTAGAATTTACTGGTTTTTACTATACTTGTGGGGACATTTGGTCCTCATAATGTAGGTAATACCAGTACACACACACATGCAGCCTCTTTTTCATTTTCTATGATTGAACTGTTCATCCTATATAGTGACCTATAAAGGGTGTATCAACTCTACCCACTTTACCACCTTGGTATGTTTCACAAAATGCTATGTTATTCTTTTAACATTCATGTTATAAAATATGTCCATTAATAATAGACATTTGAAATATCTCAAATATATATTTTTTAATATAATTTGCATAGCATGTGTGTAAATGTGACTTTTAGCCTATTATCCTAACACTGTACAATGAAACAGCATGTGACGCAATAGGACACCAATCCGGGTACAGTTGGCAACTTTCAACTTTTGCCGATATCTTCAGAGTGGAAAGATACACACCTTTCAGATTTCCCATAATCAAAGAGAATGCTAATAAGCATGTGTGGAGCAAAAATCACTGCTCGGGGTTCCTGTGCACGCAGTTATTTAAGGTGTTTCAACTGTACACATGTCCCAAATGTACTCAGTCTACCCTAGTTATATTTTTATTAGAGCAGTAAATGTAAAGGGATGGTTGTAATTAGAGCCCAACCGATATGGATTTTTTTTGGGACCGATATTACGGAGTAAAAAAAGGCTGATATCGATATATCGGCCGATATTCTTTGTGTATATTATAGTACAGTACCAGTCAAAAGTTTGGACACTTTCCCATTCGTGTGTGCAAACATTTGACTGGTACTATATATAGAATACAGTATATACATAAACAGAATATATATATACATAAACACATTTTTTGCAATGATCACTCAAATGTGGTCATCAAACACTCATGATGTGACAGAGATATGTAATGGAGGCAGGGCATTTAACAATTTAACAGTAAACTATTACCAAAATGAGTCTGATATCAGTGCACTGAACAGTTATTTCAATTAAATTCCATTCAACTTTATTCCGTTTAAGTTTTTCACTTCGGAACATTTATTCACGGATTTGCTCTACTGTCTTCACACACAGACGAAACTTACTAGAGAAGTGGGAAGTGTGAAAAATAAATACTATTTAAATTCACGTCCCGCACACTTTAATGCCCTTTGAATGTAACGTGTACATTCCCTTGGAACTGGAATCATGGCAGAATATCACGTGAAGTCCACTTCGCAGGGCACTTACGGACGAATAAGACAACGCTTGAATGCTGCTGCCTGAACAAGAGACTGTTGGCTGGTGTCACGCGTATCTCACGAACACGGCGGCGGATCTCCACCAAATTCAGGGGATCCCTTCAGCTCGAGCAACCTGAGGAGCTGAAGGGATTCCCTGAATTTGGTGCGGATCCGCCACGCCGTTACGGAGATATCACCGTTCAAAGTTTCAATTTCCATAGACTTAAGCTTTAAAAAGAGGTCATATGATGCGATTTCAAGTTTTCCTTTCTCTTTGGAGTGTTACAAGCTGATTGTGCATAGATAAGATCCCTGAAGTTGCAAAGACTGAAGTCTCAAATCCAAAGAGATATTCTTTATCAAAGTTAAGACCCCCTAAAACGGCTCGTTCTAACACGCCCCACATATCTACCTCACTATTTGGAAATATTTGCATAATGCCGCCCAAATGTTCACGCAAAGAAAGAAGGCGTAGTTTCAGTAACCGCAGTTAGCGTTGATGCAGCCATGTCCGGGAGACGCTGTGTGTTTCAGTGCAAAAGCAAAAGCACTTTATTTGTCCTTCCGAAAGTAGATGCATTTAGGTTCAAAAGTTTGAAAATAAATAGCCTATTAAGCCTACATTTATTTCTGCAGTTTAGCACCATCTGCTGTCAGAGAGTGAAAGTGCGCTTTCATGCAGAGCGTCTCTCACATGTTCCGTCATGTGCTTACGTCAGAGTGCGCAGGCGTCTTTCACGCAGCATACAGCAGTGTTGTGCATTATGACCAGTCGATGGGAAAAGTATTCTTATAATGCATTCAAAATTCGGAATAATTTGTAATATATAATTATTCACGGTATTTAGAAGTGCCCACGATAACAATATCGTGCATATTAATTACCGTGATATATCGCATTACCGAATACCGGTACAAGTCTACTTACAACAGAACAGCAATGCATTACATGCTTAATACTTTTTATATATTATTATTATTATTATTATTTTTCTTTCTGTTAATACATATGTATACTATTTGTAAGCAGTCCAGCTGCAATTGCTTTGGCAATACAAATGTATAATTTTGTCATGCCAATAAAGCACTCTTAAATTGAAATTGAAATTGAGAGAGAGAGAGAGAGCGCGTATTCTGTTACACCAAATACACAAAATAATGATCTTTAAAAAAGCATCATATGACCCCTTTAAAGCGTTTCATCCAGGTCGCCAGTAGCAAACAATGGCGCGCGCTCTGCTGGACAAACTAAGTAATTACACCATTTCAAGCATTTAATCTGCATTATGTTCTGTAAAAAAAAAAATCATATCAACGGCATATTCGCCAATACAGATATATCGGTGACAGGCTCATATCGGCCGATAAAATCGACAAAACGATATATCGGTCGGGCTTCTAGTTGTAATAAAGTATAAATGTAATATAATTTATCTGTCTGTGCTTCTGTTTCTCTTTATTATTTGTAGTCAAGTTTTAAAATGTGATGTTTAACTTTATCCAGATAAGTGAATGTGTGTTTAGTCTGTGCTTCTGTTTCTCTTTATTATTTGTAGTCAAGTTTTAAAATGTGATGTTTATATTAAACCTTTTATTGTATATAATGTATAGCATGGCCTACATAGATACATTCTTCAGTTTGCACACTGTTTGAAGGACAACATTGGGCAGGATTTTAAAAATAAAAAAACTGAAAATTAAAAATGTACTTTTAAGCAGATAAAATTAATTGAAGACAGATTAATTGATTAGGCTAATCAAAATAGTCATTAGTCTCAGCCCTACTTATAACTGTATGTTTGCCAAGTAGCAGCCAACAGTTGATGACATTTCAAAAAGCCCAGTCTTTCTCATTCGTTTCCTGTTTTTTTTTTTGCCCACACCAAATCTTACACAATAATGAAATGCCAAAGATTCCAAGACAGAAGTGTGTTGTGTTGTGTATAAGAATTTCTGGGAAAAGAGAAGTTGTTATATGACTGACAGAACATTGAAACTACTAATCACCAATCTAACAAATAGCCTTTATGAACCAGGTTGATAGTGATGTTTTAGTACTAAGACATATGTGAGGTCTGTGGACACACACACAATTCCCTCTGCACGACTGAGTTTGTGTTAATGCATAACTAGAGCAGCCTAGTTAATGCTGGTAAACTTTTTAAATGTTGCAAATTAACTGAGACCATACACAGCTTCTAGGAATGGTTCAATGTACGGCCTTCAGCACTTACTGATGCAGCAATATCCAGCCTTATAAGAAACTTGTTGGCAAAGCCTTTGCCCATATAAAAATAGTTTCTGGAAAAATTTAATAAATGTGCGGTGAACCTCACACATTAACTACAAGCTTCAAAGGTGTTGATTTTCAGCTCTTTGAGCATTATTTAGCTCAGTGTATCTTAAGAATTACTTCAGGACACAACTTTTACAGTAGCAGTGTTTATGGTACAAAAGTAAACAAAAATGTAAAAAAAATGGGGAAGTCGTGGCCTAATGGTTAGAAAGTCGGACTCTTACCCAAAGGTTGTGAGTTCGAGTCTCAAGTCCGGCAGGAATTGTAGGTGGGGGGAGTGAATGTATAACTGAGGTGCCCTTGAGCAAGTATGGGTAACCATACTTGGCCACATATCACGTCACTCACTTAAAACCAATATTGACAATATCAAACAGTAATATATTGTAGTAGTTATCATTATTATCATAAACCGCATTGGCCTAACATTTTGGAAACTGATTGGGCTTAATAGTATAATTACAACAGCAAGTGAGTGATTTATCAGTTTGGAAAAAACACTAGGTGAAATAAAGTATTAGTTTTAGCCAAATTACCAAGTGACATGTATTTGTACCGTTTGTACAAGTAGTCATTGCCATCAACAACAAAAGATTGAGAGAACGCTTTTTGTTCCTTTTCAAAAGCCTGTTTATTTTGTTATCATAAGTATGCATGGTTAAATGCTTGCTTGCATTTTATTATTTGTGTTTAGCCATGTTTCCACTACTGTCCATTGCCCTTTCAGAACAGACCTGTCACCTACTGGCACTTGTGGATCTTTTTCATAAAGACATTGGACATTTTATTGTATATTCTCCAATGACCTGCATAAATGTAAGCCTTCACAAACGTGTTTCTTCTACCTGTCTATGCAGTGGGCCAGCATGAGTTGACCAAGCACCAGGTGGCGGTAAAGATTCTGAACCGGCAGAAGATCCGCAGTCTGGATGTTGTGGGGAAGATTCGACGCGAGATCCAGAACCTCAAACTCTTCCGTCACCCACATATAATCAAACTGTGAGTACTGATTCATTCCACCTGCATTCGAATACACAGATAATGAATTTACAATGTTCTATTTGGGGGCTAGAATGTGCAACTTTTTTTGACCTACTCGTAATTGTTTTGAGTTTTATATATATATATATATATATTTATTTATTTATTTATTCATTTATTTATTTATCCCAGAGTAAGTATGTAAGATTGATATGTGTGCAAATGAGCCCCTACATTTGTATGGAAATCTTGGTTGGATTCCCTAGTGACTAGGGCTGGGTAAAAAATATCTATCTCGATTATAATCGATTCTCAGTTTTACGAAACTATATCGATTCTTAAATCCCAAGAATCTATTAGTCTAAGTCTAGCCTGTTTTCAGTAAATGGAGTGTTGAAGGGCACTTCCCATCCAATAAATCGCAATAAGCGTTGTGTGCTTTGGTACCTTTAATAAGAAACAAAGTCTCAGATTTCAAATTCTGTCCATTGTATTGCAGTATTTAAAGGGGTCATATGATGTTGCTAAAAAGAACATTATTTGGTGTAATGAAATTTGTTTATGCGGTTTAAGGTTAAAAAAACACATTATTTTCCACATACTGTACATTATTGTTTTTACAAAGCTCATCGGTCTGAAAAGCAAGGTGTGCTGTGATTGGCCAGCTATCCAGTGCGTTATGATTGGCTGAATACCTCAAGCGTGTGACGGAAATGTTACGCCCCTACCATACTGTGATGATGCCTTGTCAGGCCGGAGCCATGATTCAAAAACATGAAAACCCATTATAAACGAGGCATTCGTTGCATCCAGTGGGGACATAATTATGGATTATAATGACTTATACTGTCTTTTTACGCGTTGCGTTGCATCGCGCCGCGTAAACATAAAACCATGTCTGCATTTGTGATCAGAGAAATGACAAACAACAAGCCCTACTCTACACTGCCCAAAAAGTCGCTTTAAATATAAAAAACTTACAGTCTGTGTGTCAGAACAGCCGGCATTGTAGTCTACTCTACCAGGATCAGGAAACGGTCCTCCATAAAATGTGCTGCACACATCTGAATATTTGGGTTGAACTGTTCTGGAACAGTGTTGTAAATACAACTTGTAAATACAACCACTGATTTCTAGTCGTGTCCATTTTTGGAAGACCAAATAAAGTAGTTTCGCTTTCACAACGAAACACAGCGTCACACATGGCGGGCTAGAGGGCGCAGAGGCGGCGGCCTAGAGTGAGCAGAGGCAGCGGGCTTGAGAACGGCGCGGCCGGAGGATTCAACGAAGGAGCGTCCGGAGGGCTTGCGGCAACCACATGTGACGACCCCGGGCTGGCGCTTCGTCTACGGTTAAGGCCGATCCGGTGATCCACAGCGCAAAGTTGTTGTATTTCCTCAGCAACCAGCACGGATCAGCTCCAGGCATGACGAAGGAGATATCGTCCTCTTTTGGAAGGCCAAACAAAGTAGTTTCGCTTTCACATCGAAACACACAGTGCCTTCACGACATGGCGACGGCTACAACAATACTACAGCGAGAATAAAAGTTACGCCGCCTTTCTTTGCGTGAACATTTGGGCGGCGTTATGCAAATCTTCCCACATTGTGATGTAGATATGTGGGGGCGTGTTAGAACGAGCCGTTTTAGGAGGGCGTGGCTGACTCTTAACTTTTATAAAGAATATCTCTTTGGAATTGAGACTTTAGTCTTTGCAACTTTACAGATCTTCTTTATGCACCAAGAGCTTGTAATACTCCAAAGAGAAAGGAAAAATTGAAATCGCATCATATGACCCCTTTAAACTAAATAAATGCCTTTTTGGCGCTGTTTTGTGGAGTGATCGCTGTAGCGTGGCGCACCGCCGCCTCAGTTCAATAAAAGCGGCAGCGCGGGGCGCACGTGAACTGATAATTTCCTCCACATTAATACCAGTTTCAGCACAAAATAATCATAACTAAACGTCCGAAGGTAAGTTGAAAGAAAGAGTATAACTTTACAATCCATATCCTGTCTCATGTAATTGCTCAATCATTGTTTCAGACGCGCAAATATATATACCAGATATATATCCAAAATAATCGATATTGAATCGAATCGAATCGCAAGCTTTTGTGACCATGCTTGCGTTTTTCTTCTGTTTTTGTGGTTTGGCATGAGGCAAGACATTCACAGAATTACAGAGCATGGGAAAGAGGAAGGGGATTTCCATTTCCTGCCATTATAGAGAAGCAGTAAAGTTTTGCCCTTGATGTTCTGTCTAAACCAGTGGTTTCCAAACTTTTTGCAAACTTTTGCCACTGTGGCTAGTGGTTTTTGTTGTTGGGAAATTAAATTTTATATGATTAAAGTTAGTGCTGCGCGGTATACCGGTTCATACCGAATACCGGTGTTTATTTTTGTAATGATATATTACAATTTTTAAAATACTGCAATGTCGCTTAAACAACCTTCGAAACGCGACACTGTATGAAAGGGGTCCTTTTCACTGTTGCATTGTGGTGAGGGAACAGCTGTATGTTACTAAGCGTGAAAGTTCCGAAACTGAAGCTGTAGAACTAATAGAACGTGATGACACAGAAGAACTCATCCACAATATCCACATTGACCGCCACAAATATCCACCATCAGCCATCAGTTCCCGCGTCTCACACACATGAGTGCGACTTTAGCACTAGATTTAGCAACTTTCAGACCCTTTTAGCAGCTTTTTTCCATAAAATATTCATACTGACAAACTTAGCGACTTTTTTGGATTAACCCTTAGCTATGGTTCAGTTGGAAGATTTCGCCAGTGCTGTCCCGTCTTCAGTGTCACCTCTCTCGGCGTCTGTTCTGTGCAGTAGAGGTCTTCACGGGTCCACTTGGATCCGAAAACCCAAGGTCCAACCCGAGACCCGAGCGGGTTCGGGTCCAAAGCTTCGACGAGTACCTCGGACACAGGTCTGGTTCGGTATTAGCGGCCTCGGGTCTCGGGTAATTAAAAATAAACATGCTTTTCCCAAATGGACCCGATTAGACCTGAACCCGAATGCGTAGGTTACTTTCACTTTCGTGTTTAGAGAGGAACGCACATAGAAAAGGAGCATACGTTCGTAATCCTCGCACACAGACATCATCTTATAGATATGAGATCCATCAGGAAAATCCACTCGCTTCATTATACTGCGTGTTCATGCAGGGCTTTTCTTTTTTGTGTGCAGAAGCCTTTCGCCGGAGATCAGGTTGCAGACAACAGCGAATCCATGATTAGGCTATCGATTTTGTTTTAAATTTTTTTCCTGTTTATTTTTCAAATCCATTGGTCACAATTGAAAGCGGAGCTCAGAACCTTGTCTCTATTAGGCAGGGCAAGTAACCTAATAATAAATTGAATAAATGTTAAATAAATCAAAGTAATGGAGAGGAGGCCAAATCAGTCAACAGGACACCAGGATTTTTCCTGACTGACTGCGGGGCTGCAGGCTGTACACACATCAATGCCGTTTACGTTCGAGTCCAGTTGGGTTCGAAAATAAATGCAGCCGGGTCGTGTCGGACTCAAGTCTAATTTCATGGGGTCTGTCTCGGGTCGGGTTTTTCTTTAAAAAATTATTTATTTATGCACGTCGGGTTCGGGTAAGAAGTGATTCGGGTCGGGTACATATTTTAGGACCCGAGAAGACCTCTACTGTGCAGTGAGCGGCAGAGAAGCAGCGCATTCAGTTGGCTGCACTGCAGCCGACTTGTCAATAAGTGAGTACAAAACAGCACCTGTCGCTTACTGATTGCTTGGAATTATAAATATGAGCATAGTTCATATCACATGCACTTTTTATTTGTTTGTTACTCAGACGCAGGCAGCACACTGCATGAGACAAAAAGTAATATAGCCAAAACAACCGCATAGCCACTCTTTAGTGTAGATGCATGTTGATTTTATCAGATGATGCCACGATTATAAATGAGAGTGACTCCTGGTTAACATGTATTAAAAGGAGTCGTGTTTAGTCACTATTTAGTGTCATATTTTTTGACAATATTCACTCATCATGACAGTAAAATAGGGCATTCTAAGTCAATATACTGCAGTATTTCCTCTCTCAATCAGTAGAAAATATGGTTAACACCTGGTCATGCATGAAAAAAAAATACTGTCATGTACCGTGAAACCGGTCTAAATTTGAAAAATACCATGATATAAATTTTTGGTCGTACTGCCCAGCACTAAATAAAGTCACTGCATACTAAAATTTATTTAACTTGAATTCCAGGTCATTTTTTGCCTATTTAAAGGGCATTTTTCGCTTAAATGCATGCGTCATCTTTCATCTCCAATTCTTACATTTTAGTAATGATTACACTTAATATAAGAAGACACTATAGGGATGTTACCAGTCAAATGAAATCACTATGAACAAAATCAATCTTTCCACTGCATTAGAAACAGAAGCAGCTGAAGTGGCATTTAGATGCATTTACACTGACAGTTTAATGAAGCTGAAATGTAGCAAGAATTTACACTGCAAAATTACAACAGCATAAATAATGTTACGAGGTTGGGGTTTTTTTTTTGTTTGTTTTTTTTTTTTTTAATATACAAATATGAAATGTTGGGAAAAAATGCAAAGATAAGCTACTTTTAAATAAGAACGTAAACCACTGCTAGGTGACAGGCAAAATTACAACAGCATAAATAATGTTACGAGGTTGGGGGGGTTTTTTTTATATTTTTTTTTATATACAAATATGAAATGTTGGGAAAAAATGCAAAGATAAGCTACTTTTAAATAAGAACGTAAACCACTGCTAGGTGACAGCAAGTGACTCTCTAAATGAGTGATTGAGGCGCTCATTCAAACGATTCATTCAGTCGGCTGATTCATTCAAGAATGAAGCAAGTGCCTGTCTTTATGAATGGACCACTGAATCATTGACTCAAATTATTAATTCAAAAACGCTGAATCATTCAGTAACGAAACCGCTGTGTGTTGCTCAGATATGCACGACTGTTCTGCTGTGATCTTTGTTTGGAGCTATTTTCGTTAACCAAATCGAGCAAAAACAGTCAACATTGACAATACTGTACTAAAATGTAAGTCACTTAATATTAACTAGCTCGTTTGAACTCTTGTATAAAATCAATGTCAAATTTGCAGTCATGATTTTCAGGGAAACTGCACTTTCTTGGTTTTGTCATGTTGCTTAACTAGACTATATGTTATAAATATAAAAACTAAGTTTTTACCACAGCATGTTTCTTCTGTGTGCAGTTGTGTTCATTTGTTTAGATTTCTCCATGAGATTGTTTCACTCACAGACAGGCTTGACCGTGTTACCCGCCACTGCTGAAATCCACCTACATTTGGCGGATGTTAATGTCAAGCCTTGACTGTATATTAGAAAGCATCAATTTCAGTTATAAATAAAAATTATATTTAAGAATACTATAACTTAATATAATTTTTAGTGAGATTTTTAGTGGGCCTGCATGTTTGCACACAGATCATCAAATTCCTTCTCTTGCACACCCCTGGTGGTCAGTCTACTCTGTCACCTTGTTTGCTGTGTGTGTCTGCGTGTGTACGTGTGAGCTGTTTGTATGTACTGTGGCTAGAAAAGACACAGGAATGTCAGAGCTATCCAGCCATGCTTCAAAACCATTAGGGATTAATTGACTTTTCTCATATGAATTGTGAAAATAGTAGAAGTGAAGAAACTAAAAATCTAAGCCTTGAAATATGCCTTAATTCATCACTAAATCAGTACTAGATAGGAAAAGTTCAGTTTATTTATTTATTCAACATTGATGATAATAATAAGAAATGTTAATTGAGCACAAAATCAGCTTATTAGAATGATTTCTGAGGGATCATGTGACACTGAAGACTGGAGTAATGGCTGCAGAAAATTAAGCTTTGCCATCACAGGAATTAATTACATCAAAAAAAGAAAAACCTTACTGACCCCAAACTTTTGTTCAGTAGCATATCTCAGGGGCCACAAAAACGGCACAGTAGGTTGCAAATAGGAGAACTTTAAACTGAATGTTCAGTTCACATGGGAGATGTAAAAATACATGTTCCTGTGTCTCTGGTCAGTTGGACGAGAAGGAGAGCAGGCGTCTGTTCCAGCAGATCATCTCAGGGGTGGATTACTGCCACAGACACATGGTGGTGCACAGAGACCTCAAGCCTGAGAACGTCCTGCTGGATGCACACATGAATGCCAAAATTGCAGACTTTGGTATGTGAACTCTTTATATTTATATTTAAGAAACATGAACCAAGTTAGGTTGTTGTTGGATTTGCGCTTTCTTTAATGTCTATATTACTTAAACTTTGACTTTTCTTCATGTAGGCTTGTCAAACATGATGTCGGATGGAGAATTCTTAAGAACGAGTTGTGGTTCTCCTAATTATGCTGCTCCGGAAGTCATCTCTGGAAGGTACTGTTTACCTCTGCTGCTGTATTTAAGCTTTTTTTTTTTTTTTAATATCTCAAAAACCTGCTCTCGTCCTCAAAGATAATGCTCTGTGTTGTTTCAAATGCCTTTGTGTTGTCCGTTCATTTATATTTTCTTGCTGTTCTCACCCAGATTATACGCAGGGCCTGAGGTGGACATCTGGAGCAGTGGTGTGATTTTGTATGCTCTGCTATGCGGAACGCTGCCGTTTGACGACGACCACGTGCCAACACTGTTCAAGAAGATCTGCGATGGGATCTTCTTCACTCCTCAGTACCTGAACCCCTCTGTTATTAGCCTTCTGAAACACATGCTCCTGGTGGACCCCATGAAGAGAGCCACCATTAAAGAGATTCGGTCAGAAACTACACAAACATTTGTGCAGTCCATTTCTTTTGATCATGCCAAGTGCAAATCAACCTCATCTCTTTTTCTGTTCATTGCTCTCCATTCTCAGGGAGGATGAGTGGTTTAAACAAGATCTCCCCAAGTATCTGTTCCCAGAGGACGCTGCATATAGCAGCAATATGATTGATGAGGAGGCGCTGAAGGAGGTGTGTGAGAAGTTTGAGTGCACTGAGGAGGAGGTGCTCAACTGCTTGTACAGGTTTGTTTGCTTTTTTTGTTTTTGAATAACATATTTTGTTACTTTTGCTTTTTTTGTTACTTGCGATTAGGCATGGGCCAATTACCGGTTTCATGGTATACCGCGATTTGAAAATTTCACGGTTTCAAAATCACTAATATTTTCCGTTATACCGTTCCTGCGGTATGCGCAGTTTTTCATGTCGTCTCAAAGACTGAAAGTGTAGGAATCCCTCAGGTTGAGTGCAGTGTAGAGAGAAACCCGACCCTCCTCCTCCTGTTGGTGCGAGCGAGTGGTCAGTCACGTGTGTGTAGGATGGCCGAACTTAAGGAGCTGCCCCTGGAACTTACGCGATCGGCAACCGGCCGTTTTTTTTGTCTTATTGCAACTGGTCTCTGTTCTGGACTTGCACAAACTGCGTTGCAATGCAATAATTTTCCAAAATGTAATTTATGTGAAAATATGAAGTCTGTAAATGCCCGTTAACAGAGGCCAGAGACGCTGAAGACGGATGCAACGAGAAAAATACTGTAGCAGGAAGATCACTCACTGTTCATGATGCATGAAATATTGGAAGAAAATCCTAAATATTGATTTGGAGATTTACATGAATGTTTCTGAGGGGAACTGACTGTCTTCAGAAAAGTTTAAGTGGTATTTTCTTTTCATCTGGTCTCTGTATAATTCACATTAAAGCAGTGTTTCTACGCAGTGCTGCTTTGTTTACAGCGGTAACCAAGAAAATACTGTATTTGGTGTTCCATGAGCGCCTCCTGCTGTCAGAGAGTGAATCTGCATCTCATTCAGAGCTCCTGCTGTTAGCTTCGTTCAGGCATGCAGTATAATTTCACAAAGCTAGTCAGAACATTCTGTTTTTGCTTCAAATTGGGTTATTATTAAATCTGATTATGTATATGAAATTATATAAATGATATCTATATTATATAACTAAAATTAAATAACTGTAATTACAGATTTAGGTTAAATAAAGATGTCAGTTTTTTTTATTATTTTTCTTCTTTTCTTTTTCACATCAAAAGCTGCAAGACAGCCCACAATTCAGCAAACATTTCCAAAAAAAAAAAATCAACACATACTGCTGTTTTTTAATAATTTTTTTTACCTAGACATTTAAATGTAACACATTTTAGAGCTGTAACAACAATACCGTGATACCGTGAAACTGTGATATTTTTGCTTAAGGTTATCATACCGTCAAAATTTCATACCGGCCCATGCCTACTTGCTATTGAGGCTTATTTAGGGTGTCTACACACTGGAGGAAGTTTTCATATCGGAGGAAATTATGAATTTCAGTTGGAACGGGGAATTGCAGCTGTGTTGATGGAAAACGCAAGGTTTTTTTTATATGATCGCAAATTAAATATTTAAATTTTGCAAATGATTTTCATGTTGCCATCTAATCCTGGGTATTGTTAAAGATTTCCTGATTTTATTAGATTTCAGTTCTGAAGACATTTGAGTTTTGTTACTGAATAAATCAGCTTTTTTTTTTGAACAAATTGTTTGAGTGAATGAACGATGTTTGCGTCATTAACCCATTCAGACAGTCACTGAAACACTGAAATCATAAATGTTTCTGAATGAAGCATTCAATGACATTCAACTCATTAAGATAGGAACTTGTTGCAACCAAATATTCTAAATTTGGTAACACTTTACAATAAGGTCCCATTAGATAATGCATCTAACTAAACTGAGCAATAAATGTGTTATATTATGTATTAATATTAACACTTTAATAAAAATACAACTCTTCATTGTTAGTTCATGGTAGGTATGGTCCTTTAAATAAAAAAAAACATTGTATAATATCTCATTGTCATTATTGGCAAAATCCCCAAAATACATCATTTTTGTCAGTATTGCAGTTCTGGTACATTTTGGTATATTAGAGTTAAAACGTTAATTTTACTTTACTATAAAAGACGTCTCTCTGCTAATTCGACTTTTGTAACTCATCTTTTTTTTTTTTTAACTACCTGGGCCGTATTAGCATATAAGCTCTTTTAGGGTCACTGCAGTCAAAATAAATGCTACCAAATAATTATAAACTCTCATCTGTCCTGTTTTTGTTCTCCCTTTCTTTGCAGTCACAATCACCAAGATCCTCTTGCTGTGGCCTATCACTTGATCATAGACAACCGCCGCATTATGAGTGAGGCCAAAGATTTCTATTTGGCCACCAGCCCCCCGGACAGCTTTCTAGATGACCTGCCTGCACACCACTCTGCAAAGATTCACCCTGAGAGAGTGCCGTTCCTGGTGGCTGAGTCTCAGCCACGTCCTCGACACACGCTGGATGAGCTTAACCCCCAAAAGTCCAAGCATCTCGGTGTCCGGCGGGCCAAGTGGCACCTGGGAATCCGTAGCCAGAGCAGACCGAATGATATCATGAGTGAGGTCTGTCGTGCTATGAAGCAGTTGGACTATGAGTGGAAGGTAAGCACATCTTTACACTTAAATATATTGTTTAGCATTTTAAAAGATTTATTTTACAATTTATGTTGTCCTAAACCTATATGACTTGCGGAACACTTCTTCTGCGAAACACAAAAAGACAAAAGAAAAAAAATATATATATATAGGGCTGTCAATAGATAAAAAATTTTAATCTGATTAATCACACCCTTTTTCTGTGATTAATCGCGATTAATAGCACACTTCATGAAATTAAGCATAGACCATTTATCTTGTTTCAAATGGTTATTTTGTCATCATTTGCTATATTCAGCAAAGTAAACCAAAAGATTGAAGGGTGATTCTCAAAAATCTGTATTTTCTGCAAGCTTTCTGTAGATGTATTTCCAAAAAAGGACACCAAAGATCCAAATGATATAAGGAGCCCATATGTGCATATGAAAGAAAAAAAATGCGGGGGGAAAAAAAACCTTTATTGTATAGTATGTGTACAGTGCAACAGCAAATAGCTTTTTTACATTTTAGAGAAGTCGAGTTGCGATACCAAACAGGACCACATGGTAATGCCAAAAAAACCCTAAACCAACCGCCTGCTGACTGCATACAGTGGGGCAAAAAAGTATTTAGTCAGCCACCAATTGTGCAAGTTCTCCCACTTAAAAAGATGAGAGAGGCCTGTAATTTTCATCATAGGTATACCTCAACTATGAGAGACAAAATGAGAAAAAAAAATCCAGACCAATTAATTCTTTAAAAATCCTACAATGTGATTTTCTGGATTTTTTTTTCTCATTTTGTCTCTCATAGTTGAGGTATACCTATGATGAAAATTACAGGCCTCTCTCATCTTTTTAAGTGGGAGAACTTGCACAATTGGTGGCTGACTAAATACTTTTTTGCCCCACTGTATATACGGATCTGTTCACAATAGCGAACACATGACTCAGCAACATAAACATGGCAAATCAAAACATTATCGGGAATGTGTGTGGAAACAACGTGAATGTACGGAAATGTCTGTGCCTGTGCATAAATACAATGTGCGATCAGTGCGTCAAGAGCACTCATACACGCATTAATATAATGGACTCACTGTACGACTCCTGTACGCCACGGCAATTGTCTTTACCTTGATCGCAGTCTTCATCCATCAAAACTTTACTAGCGAGACTGGTTATCAAGTCGAGAAAATGAAGTTTGCGTCTCATCTGGCCATACAGTGGTGGGATGTTGACAATGCGTTTAGTCTGTAGCCTACTTCACACACAGCGCGTGTGACGTGTGCGCTAGGGCTGTTCGATTCCGAAATTTTTGTAATCGAGTTCAATTCCCGGTTCTCTCCCGGAATCAATTCCTCACTGTTGTTTCCGATTAATTTTCGTTTCTTATTTTTTTTTTTTTAGATTGGCGGAACCTAATTTCGCCATGACTAAGGTCGTAGAAAGTAGCCTTCTCATAATATGAAGCTTTATTTGTAAAAATTACGATGCATTTCTGTAGCTCTGATTGATTGTAAATTGTAATTTTGTCTGCATTGCGCATGAAATTAGTCATAGTTAACAGCTCAGCAGTAGACATGCGTTTATTGCATGAATGGAACAAGACATTGAAGTTTACTTTAACTGTATGCTTTGCACAAAATTAACAAACTGTACACCGAAACAAAATAACCAGAACATTAACAACAACACATTGATAGAATAAGAGCTTGTGGTTTATCTGTCAATCAGATGCGTTCTCCTCCACTGATCTGTGCTCTCGGCATTTTCTTTCAGAATTATCATTGACTGATAGAAAGGTTAAAAATTTTTTATTTAAGATGTAAATAAGAACAAGACCCTGGATCACGTCATGATCTATTCTGTCGTGCAGCGCTCAAAATTGTGGACAAAAGCCAGTTCCATCATAAAATAACCTCGTTTTTTTTCATCGTTTTTTGAACTGGTTCATTAAAAGGGTCATATGATGTTGCTAAAAAGAACATTATTTTGTGTATATGGTGTAATGAAATGTTTATGCGGTTTAAAGTTAAAAAAACACATTATTTTCCACATACTGTACATTATTGTTTCTCCTCTATGCCCCGCCTTTCTGAAACGCATCGATTTTTACAAAGCTCATCGGTCTGAAAAGCGAAGTGTGCTCTGATTGGCCAGCTATCCAGTGCGTTGTGATTGGCTGAATACCTCAAACATGTGACAGAAATGTTACACCCCTTACCATACTGTGATGCCCTGTCCGGCCAGAGCGATGATTCAAAAACATGAAAACCCATTACAAACTAGGCATTTGTTGCATCCAGTGGGGACATAATTACTGATTATAATGACTTATACTGTCTTTTTACGCGTTGCATCGTGCTGTGTAAACATAAAACCATGTCTGCATTTGTGATCGGAGAAACGACAAACAACAAGCGCTACTCTACACTGCCCAAAACTCGCGTTTGAATCATCAGTGGCAAATCCTTTAAATGAAAATGTACTTACAGACTGTGAGTCAGAACAGCCGGCATTGTAGTCTACTCTACCAGGATCAGTAAACAGTCCTCCATAAAATGTGCTGCACACATCTGAATATTTGGGTTAAACTGTTCTGGAACAGTGTTGTAAATACAACTTAACCACTGATTTCTAGTCGTGTCCTCTTTTGGAAGACCAAACAAAGTAGTTTCGCTTTCACAACGAAACACACAGTGCCTTCACGACATGGCAGCGGTGGCAGCAACAATACTACAGTGAAAATAAAAGTTACGCCTTCTTTCTTTGCGTGAACATTTGGGCGGCGTTATGCAAATCTTCCCACATCGTGACGTAGATATGTGGGGGCATGTTAGAACGAGCCGTTTTAGGTAGGCGTGGTTGGCTCTTAACTTTTATAAAGAATATCTCTTTGGATTTGAGACTTTAGTCTTTGCAACTTTACAAATCTTCTTTATGCACCAAGAGCTTGTAACACTTCAAAGAGAAAGGAACAATTGAAATCGCATGATATGACCCCTTTAAAACAATCTATCCAAAATAACCTTTTCGTGGAAACGAATCAGACTTCTAAACACTATTAGCGAGCTAGAGGCAAATGAATGGGTGTTTTTCAAAACGGAAGACTGCAAACTCAGATGAGCTGAGTACCAACTTTTCATTCAGTTTATTTTCGTGAATTGATGTTCATGTGTTTGATGGCGTAGCAGCTGAGATATGCAGCCTTTGTAGGATGCAGTCTGCCGTTTGAGAGTCACCCATAGATAAGCTTTGTTGAACTGAAAACAGCTCTGAATGAGGAGTCGATTCCCCTTGATGGGATTCTTTTTGGAATCGATTCCCAGCCCTAGTGTGAGGGCTCGCGCTCTTCAGAGACAATCACAGAATATGACAGAGCTCGTGTTTAAAAGCGAAACACACTGGAATGAATAATTCCCTGAAAACGCAACGCGAGTCTCTGTTCTCTCTGCAATCTCTGATGTAATCAGCCTGGTTTCATTTATATTAGTGCTGTTTTGGACGGATTGTTTGGATGCATTCCCTTACTGGATCATTTGACTGAAAACTTTCCCGGAGTTTAGCAGCTTAAAATGATCTGATATATATATATATATATATATTCTATTGAATGATGTTTAATATATTACTTAATTTGAATTAATATTACATTGAGTATATTTTAAAATTAAAATAAAACAAGTCAATCTGAACAATGCTATGCAGTTAGTTAAGAGTCTTAGAGTCTTAATCTTGGAGCTTAATTGGGAGCCCGAATCCTCTCTGATTAAGAGAAAACACCAATGAAATTAGATATATATATATATATATATATTTGAAGAATCTTTCAACATTGTGTGTTTGTCCACACAATTAAATTATTAGAATGTTAGAGTGACAGAATTTTCATTTTTGGGTGAAATGTCCCTTTAAGGCGAGTCATATGTTGTTACCATGTTTTGGAACAGACTATGGGAATAACTTACATCCAGACAAGGAACCATTTAGTCAATATAGGGACTGGAAAATAGAAATTGCAGTAACAAAGGATGGAGGAGTGGTAAAAACAGATCAATATAGTAAACGGTGTTTCCTTGTATGCATTTCTTCTGCTAATCCTCCTGAGGTACCTGATCTTAGGGTACATTCCATCTCTGCCTTGTGGGAAAGATATTTTGGTAGATATATGTATTAAAGACTTGACCCCTCACTCTCTCTTTCTCTCTCTCTCACACACACACACACACGCACACACACACACATACAGGCCAAATAAAATGTTAACAGAAATCTTACAAGTCAGAATTATAACACCTTGGAGCTAAACAGAACCTCTAATGTATTAAGGACAGAATTTGTGTTTAATGGTACACTTCCATTCAAAAGTTTTGGGTCAGTAAGATTTTTTATAATGTGTTTTTGAAAGAAGTCTCTTATGCTCACAAAGCTGCATTTGTTTTATCAAAAAAACTGTAAAATTATAAAATATTACTTATTATTACTTATATTAAAAATCAATGTTTTCTATTTTAATAGTTCTTGCCATTGCAAAGCTGCACTTTAGCAGCCCATTCTGTTTTCACGATCTTTCAGAAATCATTCTAATATGCTGATTTGGTTCTTAAGAAACATTTAGACTGTGGAATTCTGGGCTGTCTGTTGACATGTATGGACGAAACACAAAATTACAGATGATCATTTTGTTTTTGTTTTTTGTGTAAGTTATGGTATGAAAACATTCCATCAAGATCAGACTGTTGTCTGCCAAAGTAGCATATCTGTCGCCATAGTAGACATACTTTCTCAGATGTAATCACATGCAGGGATGCGATATTCGCTGTTTTGAATTCAAAATGGGTAATTTGTGTGATTCGTGTAGATCCGGTAAGTAGTACCAACTTAATTCTGTACCAGCTCGAAGTCAACTGCTCTGAAAAAAAATTTTTTTGCGAGTTTTCGGAGTCCTACACGCTCGCAGATCTACCTATTATAATGAGGGGAAAAATGCATACACACAGTGTAAATAAGTGATTGATTGTGTAT